ACCCCCCTGCGCAGAAACACAACCTTATCAAGAGTTAAAGCAGATAACGAAGAATCAAGACCCAGGTAAAACATTGCTCAACTGACATTACTATAAGTCCATTATCTAGTCCAGTGTTTCCCACTTTCATAAACATAAACGCTCCGAGGCACCGCTGGCCTCTTGAAAACACACGCACCGACCAGAGCCCATTATTATTAGTAAACAAAACTCTTTGCAATATTAAATCTGAGTTTTTCTCGTTGGCGCCTTAACCTGGCAGCTGGCTACATCGGAACAGGGAGCTCTCGCTCAGCTGCTCTCTCCCAGTCTGTCTTTACGTCTGATGATTCCCATGTCAACAGTCTTTTATCTCATGCATATACACCGAACATGCCACACGGCACTTTGGTTACTCTCTACCAAACAAATATATAAACTATATTTAATATAGTCATTTTTTATTTCTTGCATATGTGACTGTTCCAAAATTCTGCTGCGCAGACAATGATGTCTGAAGGCACACCGCTGTCCTGCGGCTCACTGGGTGAGAAACAATGATCTAGTCACTACATCGCTGTCGTGGTATTTTAATTACTGTACCACAGTAATCTGTTCTGAGCAGCAGGGTGCCACACTACAGTCAGCCAGACTAAGTGTGGCATTCCTTCCCTCGGAGAATGAATAATTAAGGCTGTGTTTTCATTTGTTCCTGACAAATTTCCTCACGTTTTAATGTCTTTTGAGATTACACAGTCTCTTAAATTAAACTGACAACAATCCCGTTATCCCACAGTTTGTCTGGGCCAACTGAGGGAAATAACAAAAGTCTGTTGTGTTTTCTCTGATCATATTTTACCACATTTTGCACATTTCTCTGAAGAATCCTCGCAGCTATCTCATTATTGATTTGCTGCGGTTTTGTTTTGATCAGTTTGACGAACGCTCCTTCAGAGGGAGCAGTTTGTTGGTGTGTTTTCTACAGTACAAGCGGTGGAGGTACTGTAGCTGTGTCCTCTATACGCAGAGAAGAAAGAGACACACAGTCATGTCCTGAGACTGATACCAACAAATTGTTCAGTCTTCCTGTGTCATTTGTATCTGCACTTTAATTAAGAAACAAAGACTGGCATAATTAAATAAAGTATCGCTGAACTGAAATTACTGAAATAAAGTTGGTCAGTGGATATGATTTAAGAAAGGTTACAAACAAGGCCACTCAGCCCATATGGTAGTCAGTAGTTCATCCATCTGTGGATCTCATCCAACTATTTCTTGAAAGATGCCAGGATATCAATTTCAGCAACATGTTTGGGGAGCTTATTTATTTCATACTCTCATGAGCCAACTATTTTAGTGCCATGAATACATCTATCCATTTTTTAACTGCTTCATCCAATTCAGGGCTCGCGGAGAAGCACGAGCACAAGGCAGAGTGCACCCTGGATGGGATGCTGTGACTCTCCAGCAGGAACTGTGGGTGTCCTATGCCATTCCAGGGAACAGAGACCCTGAGCTCAGTCCCCAGAGGTGCTGCTCATTCAGACAGCAGGGTCTGTCTCAGCAGCAGGGTGTCCAGCCCTGACTCCACCACGCTCGGCTCTCCAGTTCTGACTCATGACTCTAAGCTTCCTTGCTAGGGTGCAAGACGGGCACCAGCAGATGCTCTGCCATTGGCATCTTGAAAAAGCGCAGAGTGAAAGAGCAGAGGTCTGAACGCCTTCCTCGGCGCGGCTGGTGGCCGAGCGTGGTGGAGAGAGGCGCTCAGGCTGCTCAGCGCCAGACGGCGCCCTGTCTGTTCTCTCTGCGCCTTGGCAAAGTGGCGCAGGCCTGGGAGCTGCTGGAAGGAAGATCTCTCAGCAGATGAGGTGTGTGTGTTGTCAAGCTGAAAACACCATATTGTCCAGCAGATTCAAGCCCCTGAAGGCATGTTGCAACAGGGGTGGCTTCAGCAGTGATGAGGAGTAATCTTCAAATACTGTATAATGTTACACTTAAGGTATATAATCAGCCTACTGCTGTCAAACACTGCTTGTGAGCTGCCATACTCTTTCAAGGGCAGGGTCTCAATTAAACTGTTTCTCATAACTGGGTGCCAAACATTTGGTAGAAATGATCCCTCTTACGAGACAAACTCTTTTCTGTCATTTTGACCATTGTAGTTTGTCACTTTGTAATTGTAATTCTGTCGCGAGGGGGCAGACAGTGCGAGGATCTTCGTCGTCTAGAGCAATCCCTGGGTCTCCGGCCTGGGCCTCTGGCCGCACACCCCTCCCCCGTCCGTGCCGGGGAGCAGGGTGACCCCCATGGAACCAGAATCTCCCAGCACCGTTCTGAAGAGTGTGGAATCATTCATCTCTATGGTAGTATGACTCATCTCTTCATAGGTCCCATTATAAAACATCTGAAGTGTGGAAAGATTGCTTTCGATACATAATGAGTAGGTGGTGCTGCATGTTCCTTTTGCCGGCAAATGGCACGGAGTACTGCAGTCACTACCAGCATTTACCAGGCACTGTTCGACATTTCTCTTTGCTTTCATGCACAGATGACAATGTCCGCAGATCATCAAAGCTTTTTCGTCAAAGATTGTGAGTAATCCCTATTGCTGTCATGCCAGATTTGTTTTGTGTTTAATTACGGTACAATAACTGTATCGCAATCATGTTAGGAAAGCATCAAAGTGATTTTATTATTTTAGTATTTACTTTGTATTTTATCTTGCGTTTCATTACTGAACAGTACAAAGCAATAAAATGTACAGTAGAGTCCAGCTTACATAAAGCTCAGGTTATGTAATGTTCTTGCTTAATGGAACTCTTCTGCAGAAATAATTCAGGAACACCTGATAAAGCCTCATACTGGCTGCTCATGAGTTGCTGATCTTGAGCCCTTCTGATAATATTTTTGAAGATTTTGATCAAAATCAGTGTAAATTAAATAAACAACAGCCCCTGATTCCAGACCAAACTAAGCTGTATGAATAACAGCCACAGCTGTGGTAAAAAAAGAAAACACTAGTAGAGGTTTTGAGGAAATTCCTGATACTCATACATTTTAATTAAAAATGTTGTCAAGAATATCTAAGATAGTTATTCATAGAACATATCTTTTACATATATATCTTACAATGATCACCTTTCGGGTTTATGGTACGTTTTAACAGCATCCATTTGCTGGGAATTTTTCAGAATTAATTAGCTTTTGTTGTTTCAAGATGCTTAGAATTGCAGTACCTTCTAAAGAGACTCCCAACTCCAAATATATACTGTATTAATATGCTTTAGTTTGATCCACAGGGTAAAGTGTTGTGATGTAATTTTACAGAATTGTTCATAGGCATACAGAGGCCTTTGACCCAAATCCCATTAATTATACAAACTGCAGAATAGCAAAAAGTGTTTCAGTAGTACAGTGAAAGTGCTATTATCAACCCATTATCTGTTTAAGAAGCTCCCTTTAGCCAATGACAGCCCTGTGACTGGAGACACCACTGGCAAGGTGAAGAGACACACTGGCCAGAGACATTCACAGCTGCCAGGGGGCAAACACAGGCCGGAAACTGCTGAATAATACATCTCCTCTGAGCACGAGTCGGCATCCGCGGCACCGGGAGCGGCCTTCTTCTGAACAGAGGAGGGTAAACTGAGACCGAGAGCTCATTTACAGCAGGAAGACCCGCTGTACGCACACAGGGGAGGGAGTGGCGTGTACCACAGACCCCAGGGCTCTTATGTTAGAGCCATTTCTATTCATCATTGACACTGCTGGTTTATCTGACCTCCTTTTCAAAAAACAGAGCCAGAATGTTTGTCCTAATTCGAGATCAACATTTCAGAGTCTTAATGATCCTTGACTCCAATTACTTTTTTATAAGCGGGACCCTGCTTTTGAACCCTTGAGCAGGGGTTAGGTGAACCATCTAGGTTCACTCAGTAAATAACCATGGGTAGAGATGGGTACTTTCTGGGTCTTCATTGTAAATTTGGTACAGTAAATGAGGGTTGGTTCACAATTGACTTATCTGGTAAAATAAAGGACTTCCAGAAAACACTTTATTAAAGCTTTCCAATATAGCACAAATAAGTGCACAATAGACTTCTTTGTCACAACTTGAATAATGAAGTTAATAAGACCACCTCCAGCCGTTAAAGATGCTCTCACTGGGAAAACATTAACTGCAAAAACATTATTGTCTTTTATTTATTTTCGAATAAACAATTCCAGACCTGGATATTTCTCATTTCCCTTACGCGCACACCTTACACAGGATTATAATCAATATAATATTTGGCTGAATGACCCCTATCAATATCCATGACTGCTGCCTGCTATCACATCCTTAAAGCCTGATATAATAAGAGTACAGTGATCCAGTTATTCCGGGGCATGCATTTGCTTAAAACCTATTTTTCTGATCCAATTTCCAAAGCATGCTACAGTATTCAGGTAACACTTATCCAAATGACTTAAAAGAACAAGAATAGTCTAGGATGGGAACATGCCTTTCAGCATATCAGAACCACTGCTGTCCCTGAAAGCCTGATGAAAACTCACCCATCTACTGTATACAAACAGGTGTACTGCCTGTCATAGCTCTGGGTCAATACTTAAGCTATCTGAACGGTCTGAGCACAAAAAGAATGACCATCTCATCTACGCAATGTATATAGGATTCCTAAAGACAGATACACAGAGGCATCAATAGCTATTTCAATTAACCCAACTTCTATAAGCTGGTGGTAACATTACTCTGCAGCTCTCTGACTTAGGGTCATATTCACAAAACATTTATAGTAGAGGAAATATGCTAAAAAATATCCTAAATACAGCTTGCTATGATCAATTTTAAAACTAAACTAAAACTATTCTTCATGTCCCAAAGCATAGCTGCTGCAGGCATTGGTGCACAGAGTGCTGCAAGCAAACAGTTTTGCACGACTTCGCCACACGCAAAGCTGTGGTAAGCTTGGCAGAGGCGGTTGCAAACAGTTTGTCTGGGAGCTGGCACCGAGGCTCACCGGCTTGTGTCTCTCCTGCTGGGGGATCAGCTCTGGCAGGGGGATGGCGCGGGGCTTGGGTCTCGTCAGACCGAACTCCCTGGGCTCCGTGTGCTTCTTGGCGGCTTTCTTCAGGGGACTCCCACGAGTCACTCTGTCAGACAGCTGGGCCATTAAAGTCTCCATCTTGGGCTGCCACCTGAGGGACATACAGGGACACGGAGCATCACGAAGCATGGATACAGCCTATTCCTATTCCGGAACAAGTAAGAGGTTTATTCCGTGCTGATAAGAGAAGAAAGAAAACACAACGTTTCAGCTGTGGAGCCTTCTTCGGGTGTGAGAAAGATAGGGCAGTCCGCAAAGATACAGTAATACAGCGTGGGAAAACACAAGCCAGGAGAGGGAGGAGACCGCTTCAGAGAACATGTAAGGGCTGCGAAGATGAAAGATTTCTCCAAGCCCATAGTTTCTCATTTCACCTCTGACGGCCATGATCACACTGATCTCTCCGTCTGCGTTCTCAAAGTAGGGCTTCCTAACTCCTATAGCAGAAAGACATCAGAAACTAAAATTATCCTGAAACTTGGTTCACACCTTCCCCCTTCTCTCAACGACAGACTTGTTTTCTTCTAATTCCCTCTGTCCATTTGTAGGTTTCGTTGCTCCTCACCTCTCTCGACCTCGCACCACTTGATTGGCCACTCTGCCTCTCCCCTGCTCCCACCTCCTCCTCTCTCCTGGCTTGTGTTTTCCCACGCTACATTACTGACTGCTCTATCTTTCTTACACCTGAAGAAGGCTCCACAGCTGAAACGCTGTGTTTTCTTTCTTCTCTTTTCAGCACAGAATAAACCTCTTAGTTGTTCCTTTGGAGCCTGCAGCATTTGCAGTTCCTCTGACACAGCTACCTACCTCAACTATTCCTATTCCTTTAAATTCTGTATCTGAACAATCAATCAATATCTGCTGTAGTAATCTAGCTGGTATCATTGTTCGCTACTTGAGTGCTTTTCCCTTTCAGTTGTCCATGTGAGGCAGGACAATGGTTTGCAACCTCCCGCTGAGCAGACACGTGTTACAACCCTGTCCTCCGAAATCTGTCACTATTTTATGCACCTGGGGTGTTACTCTGCTTCGGGGCACATTCATTTACCTTCTGTAACCAAAAAAGAATTAAAGCCTTCCTTCCAGCCATGCTGAAACCATCTTTCCTAGCCACGGAAAGGCTTACAGACTTGTCTAAAGGCACAAGATTCAATCAGGGATTTCAGGGACTAATCACAAAACCTTTTTATTATAAAACCTGAAGCAGAAAAGTGAAAATAATAGAGGTGTTTCAGCATCATTTAAGAGTGGCTTTCAATACATTAATTATAGACTCTATTTTGCAGCCTGCAGTTCTGATTAAATTTAGACCAGGACACTGCAGTACAGAACTATACTAATATATATCATGCTGTTAAATTAAGTGAGAGGTGACTTCTTTCTCATTCACATTCCCAGTGGCACTTTTCAGAATTATGCTTTATGCAGACAGCTCAGTAAAAGTCTTTTTGAAATGTAAAACAGGTAGGAGGACAGAAATGCAGTGTAGTGTCTCTGACAGGTTGCTTACCAATTTATCCTTACACTGAGCATGGTTAACGTGTGTCTATCACTTTGAAATGTTCTTTAAATAACATAACAAATGACGTGAAAATGTGTGCTGTTTATGGCCTGAGTCTGCTGTGTGTTTTCGTGAAAGAAAACAGAAGAGAACTGCTTGCCGGTTTGTTGACAGTACCTCAGGAGTGGTGTGATCCAGTTATTTTCCACAAACGGAGCATCATAAATGTGACTCCATTCGTCCTTAATCCAGGTGCTCAGGTTCGTGACGTCGAAGAAGAACCCCAGGAACTGTGAAAAAACGCAGAACCCATTTACCTAAGACACCCATTGGTCACCATCTTGCTGCAGTGCCCAGATTAAACTCTTGAAACCTGCTGAAGATCTATACCTATAGTTGTTAAATAACACAATCCAAGTCCAAAGCATTAAATTTGACTAAAGTTGAAATCAATAAGGTGAAACAAAGACCAAATAAACAAAAATCAACTTGTTGATTACACTTATGTATACTGTATGCGCATTATTTACACAGATGGATTGTACTGTACTTGAACTTCAGTCTAAATTGAAAAACTTGGGGGTGATATCTGATTCAGGCTTGACATTTGACCCACTAACACATCGGTATCAGTGGTTCACTGTGGGTTGTCTGCAATAAAGGACCTGATCGTAGCTGGTGGGAACATCTTTCCCTGTCGTGGACAGGCTCATTGTAGTACTAGCAATCTAATCAGTGAAAGTCCTCTATTCCTGCAAAAGCTATGTTTGCTGCTTAGCCACACACAATTTTCCAGAAAACAATCCCTGACTCAAAAAGAAGAAATCTGCCAATCAGAACAACAGGTCGGGCCCGAAGATTGCAGGTTGGAGCCCGAGTCAAGTTACTAGCTGACTCTGCCTGGGATTACCCAAGTGGAGTGGTCAGGTGGTGCTCTCCCATGTCTGAGATTGAGCGCCCCTCTGTGGCCTCACATGTGTTTGCAGGCGTGCAGTGCTTCTATTCCAATCAGCACCGAACATCTAGTAGGTCCAAAGGGGCTTCTTAGACAGCCTTAGCGAAGAGGGAAATGGATCTTGTGGTGGAACCAACAGATGGAATCTGGGAACAGGCTGAAATCAGGAACCGGGAAGTCAATCCAAAGACAAATACAACACAAGAAGCAGGGGCAAGGAAACTAGCAGTAATCAGGAGAAAATAACAAAACATCACCAAGAGGATAAATGGACTGAAATAAAACAGAAACAAGATAAGAAGCAAGAAGCCTACAACTCAAGGAAAAACCATGTAAGTGAAGTCCAGAGCTCTAGCTACGGGTATACAAGGCTAAACACTGAAGAGAATGAGAGCACAGTTTATATAAAGCTGAGGAAGCGAGGTGAGAAGCCCCCAGTATACTGGGCAGCTCATGATTGGCTAGGGCATAATGCAGCTGTCTGCGTGGACTGCGTCTGTGCTGCGCATCTGGGCCAGCAGCCAGTGTTAGAGGCGCCCTCTGGCAGGGAGGAGGTGGAACTGCAGCTGTAGGGGGTTGTGTTGCCTGTCACGTGTTAAAAGACGGAACGCCTCAAAGGTGGGCGTGTCAGTGGTATCTGCCAACACTTCCTCATTCTTCCCAGGCGACACGTAAAAACACACAATTGCCAATTCCAGATCAGGTGTGTTTAACAAGAAATAATAGGCCATTCTAAAAAAAATTGATCTGAATAGTTACTGCGTGCTCTGGAGGTATTTAATTCCCGTTTTACGTAAGCCACTTTCGCATCCTATTGTACCTTTTACCACATTCAACTAAAATTCCGACACAATAATTTAATCTCCCATTTATTAAACCTGCTCCTTCTAGCAAAGCAATTGCAAATTTCTGATATAGACGCCCATTTTATTGTTCAGTTGAATACTGTTTAATTTTGCAAAAGCCAGCCTCTGAATAGCTCAATGTAATGAGCAATTTAATATCCTACATTTTTCTTGCCTTGAGATTACATACTCCCTCTCAGGTCTCACCATCTAGGATGGTGGCAGATGTGAGAGCTCATTTTGCATTTTAATTTCAAATGCATTCTCATACTGGGCCCACTCTGTATGGAAACACAGCTCACATTTAAAAAACAACAAAAATCAATCTGAGACTGGGAATAACTGTATGACCCCTTTGAACAGTCTCAGTTTACACAAACATTTCAGTGAGTTCCTTTTTAGGAACACTAGGTGAATTCTGCATCAAGATGTAAAAATATTTTTTTCCAACTGTGGAGCATTTGTCAGGTGTGTGGGGGGATGAGAGAGGGAGTATATTTTTCCTGGCATCGCCTCTGACTGACTGTAAAAATCTAATTCCGTATAGACAGATGGTAATGAAATATTCCTGAGCATCGACAATAGGAAAGAGATCATTCCTAAAGGAAGGCAGTGATACAGGAGAGAGCAATTGTGTCAACACACGCATGATAACTTAACTGATCGTCTTACTCATGCTGTGAGCTTAAGATCTTCATCAGAGCAGGAAGAGATGAGAGGAGACCATTCAAGCCCGCAGAGCTCACCTGGTTATCTCACTCTCACTGTTCGCCTGCACTGCGGGCCACCCCCTAACACCACCACCAAATATAACAGACCTTCTACATCCCCCTAGAAAGAGGCAATCAATTTTAGAGCAGCCAGGTATGTAAATAAGATGCACTTTTATCATCACCTCCCGCAATCACACACAACCCTCCACCAATTCCAGAAGGCGTAGACTTCAGAATCGATTATCCAATCAGCCCTCCCGATCACAACCACACCTTCCAGCTCCAGACTGTTTCACAGCAGCACACAGCTGCTTCAATGCCCAGTGTTGGGCTTCACGTCTTGCCATCACAGCGATTCTCCTGATCTCTCCATGTGTTTCCGGTTCCCGGACTTCGATTCCCCTCGACAACGATTCCGGATCTCGATTAAATACACCCAGTACATCTAGTAATTAAGAACACCTGTTTTTTAGACCCCTGCTCCTTCTACGCTTCACGCTACCACATAGCGTCCCTCTACTATCAACTCCTCCACGCGTTGGCGCAACACCCTTTTATCAGCAATCCACCGTGAGGCTTGTAGATGATCTTTGTCTGTCCTCTCCGTTCTACATATTTGAACTGAACATAGAAGCTTTACACTCCTTACATATGCAGACAGAAATCTAGATACTGTAGGTGTAGACAATATTTATATTTTTTATAATGTGTGTCTTCCTGGCAGTTACCTTATACATCTTATTGACGTCCTGGGATTTGACAATGTTGCTGAAGTGCTGCAAACCAAGCTCTTCCAGGAGAAATGTGGCCAGGTAACATATGACTGAGGAAACAAAGAGAAACCATGGAATGCCGTACGCACAAGTGATCAAACACAGTGGATCTAGCACGCTAGCACACTGACCAGGACTGTATGGAATAATACAAGCTTTAGTCAAGACAATGAAGTGTCCTCGTGTTCAGAGATGAAGACGTATCTTATCTGCAAAGTCAGATGTTGCACAGGATGAAAAAAAAACAGAATTAGAATTTTTATTGACTTCAAATGGAAAGAATAGCAGGTCGGGGTGTCATACTGGCGAGAAGGTTTTCCTGTGAAAGGCTCTTGTCATATTTTTCAAAGAAGAGGCGTGTTTTCTGTGCAGGCACAGCAGGGCTCTGCGAGGCAGCAATGCTAAGCACTGCGTCACCATGCTGTCCTCTGTTAGACACGTTTCACTGTATTGCGCATCAGTATTAATAATAACAATAATTGCTTACACTTATATAGCGTTTTTCTGGAAACTCCACTCAAAGCGCTTTACAGGTCATGGGGATCCCATCCACCACCACCAATGTGCAGCCCCACCTGGATGATGCGACAGCAGCCATAGTGCACCAGTACGCTCACCACACATCAGCTATCAGTGGGGAGGAGAGCAGAGTAATGTAGCCAATTCATAGATGGGGATTATAAGGAGGCCATGATTGGTAAGGACCAATGGGAAATTACAACCTCACTTCGAGAAACGCCCTGGGATTTTTAATGACCACAAAGACTCAGGACCTCGGTTTTACGTCTCATCCCCGCCACTATACTGGGGCATTAGGACCCACATAGTGTCACGCCCTCTGCAGCCAGAGGGCGCTCCTTCTCTGTCCTTTCCCTAGTTTCCGGTCTGCTGTCCTACCTGTCCCTCTCTCTTCCTTGGGCTATATATTTCCGGGTCTTGGACTCTGTCCTCGCTCAGCATTGACGTTCGGATGTCCTGAGACCCGCCTAGCTCCAGGGCGCCCCACGTCCGCTCCCTGAGGGCATAGGTTTCTATACGGCATTCCTGAACTCTTTGCACTAATGAGCCCGGGCCTTTTTCCCATCTCGCCGCTACGCATATGGGTCTTTTTCCGCTCTCCTGCTCCCCACGGTTAGTCCCTTTGGACGTCCGTGACACATAGACCGCAGGGTGAGCGCCAGGTACTGGCCAGGCTCACAAATTCTGGGCTCCAGTGGGCTCCCAAGTGTGAGTTGCAGGGTGATATGGCTGCTGGCCATAGTATAGAGACTTTCATCAGGTACTATGTAGTACTTAAGAAAATCATTTTAGTTCATACACAATATGTGTATATGACTGATGGCAAAACCTATCGCAGGCTTATGTTGCAAATGTTATAATGCTAATGGTTTTTCATAGTCTTATGGTTGTGTCAGTTCCCAGAGAGCAATTAATGTCACAGCTTAGAAAACTAGATTTTTGTACACATTCCCTTCTCTTTACCATTACAGGGCAATTACATCAGCCACAGTTAGATATTAGAACAAGCATGGTACAATTGTCATTTCTTTATCTCTGTAATCTATATTTGTGCCTCATTAATTCTCTGCTCCTGATGTGTTTATCTTTGCAAAGCCCTTTTTCTCGCCCTGACACAGTCTGGTTGTTTTAATTGCCCCTCCATGTACTGCATTTCAAAATGACGGGAGGCACCTCGTCATATGGCTGCATCCGGACCACGTTAAAAAAATAGTTTTCCTCTCACTTCTTAGTACTTTGTTAATAGAGATAAACATTTATTCCCCGACTGCATTGCTGTTATCATTACAGCTATTACTGGTACGAAGAAGAAGTTCATAAAAAAGAGATTAAACTGCAATTCACACTAGTTGAGGGCTGGAGGTGCAGAGGCTGAAGTCAGCTGAGTGCAAGAAAGCAGGAGAATTCGCAGAGCAGACTTCATCAAGCGCTCCAGACTGCTGTTCTAATGAGCACTCCAGGCTCACTTAAAAACCCATTGCTCGTTTTGCTGGGCACTCAGCTGTCCTCATCCATATTCAAATACTTGCATGTGCATTTAAATTCTATTCTGTTTTTGCTATTGTTCATCGATGTGGGTGGAATTTGCACTGATTTAATGTTCATGTTAGTGTTCCACAATTTTAATTCTGACCTCTTTGTGCGCTTCGAAGCAGGCCTGTGGTCCCTCGTGACATGTTGCATCAGCGATTCACTCGTGAGTAAATCAGTTAATGCTGGCCAGTATACCTGGTGTCAAGCTACTGTAACTAACTTGAGTTACTAGTGAATCTCTAATCGTATGAACACTGTGCAGTAGCAGTTTTATGAAGCAGAGCCTCAAATACACCATTTCATTCTAACTAGAGACAGTTCTATTTACACCTACTATATGTCTTAACATCTTAACAAAGAAGCACAAATGTCAGTTTGTAGGTTTCCTATTGATGATTTTTTTTCAGCTGTGCTTCCTCCTGCATGTGGTCTGGGTGAATCTCTTCTGTTGATTTATCCCAGAGTGCAACATTAAGTAACAATTCTAGCAAACATACGTTCTGAGATAACTCCTTGAAGCTGGAAGGGCGTGGAGCTTGTAAGTAGATCTTTTCTGTACGGCTGAACTTTCTGTACTTTAAATTGAGCATGGGTGGGGGACAGCCCTGGTCTTCAAGAGCCAGTTTGGTTTCTCGTTTACATTCTACCTCATACCTTAATGTCTCAATTGAATCAATTAACTAAAAGAGAAGTCAAATCAGCTTTGTTGTCTGGGTCCTAAAAACATGCTAATCAAAAGGTGCAGTCAGTCTTTAAAGTGTGAAAGAAGCCAATGACTCCGAATTAACAGAAAACCGCAACACCCTTATGCTAACCCCATTGACAGCCTCTACGTAAGTTACTTAAGAAATCCATATCGTCAGAATGAGTAAACTAGCTTGGTAATTAATAGTCCAAATAGGAAATACAAAACAACAGAATATATAGGAACAAGTGATAGGTTTATTCCCTGCTGAGAAGAGAAGAAAGGCAGCACAATGTTTCGGCTGTGGAGCCTTCTTTGGGTGGACACCAGAGCCAAAACATTGTGTTTCCTTTCTGCTCTTTTCAGCAGGGAATAAACCTATCACTTGTTCCTTTGCAGCCTACGCATGCTGATGCAGCTGCCCACCGGAACCACTACAACAGAATATATGTTTAGTACCAGAGGGTAAAAATAATAAAGTCCAGCTTGGAAGCCTATTTACTGTACCTGACCAGCTACTCTGCGACAGGAGAAAGATCAGCATGTGACCAGTAACACAAGGGGAGCCCGCTGAAAAGTCAAGGTAATACACCGAGCCTCCTTCGACAGAATCCTCCTCTCCACAGCGGACAGAGTCTCCTCCGCGGCTGCTGGCCTGCACTGGCTGCGCCTGACATGGCTCTTCCAGGCCAGCACTCCAGGGGGGTGAGGATGGGCGGAGCGGTGGCTCTGTGGCTCAGGATCTGCGCCTGTGGCTGGAAGGTTGCCGGTTCAAATCCCGCAGCTGGCAGAGGAATCCCACTCCGTTGGGCCCCTGAGCAAGGCCCTTAACCCTAACTGCTCCAGGGGCGCCGTACAATGGCTGACCTGTGCTCTGACCCCAAGCTCCTCTCCCTGTCTCTGTGTGTGGAGAAAAGCTGGGGTATGTGAAAAGACGCATTCCTAATGCAAGAAATTGAATAGGGCTAAGAAAGAAACATTAACATGAGGGGTGATCACGGGGGGGTCGGCAGACGCCAACGAGCGTGGCCTACGTGAGGCGGTGACCGTGTGGCACTGTGCACAGCCCCTCTTTCCTCCCTGTTCCCCCGATCAGCACCTCCACACAGTCTAATGTGGCTGCTCTGGCTGTGCGGTACCTGACGGGCGTCCGGGCAAACAGTGTACACGCCACAGGGCAGGACAACCAGGACGGCAGAGGGAAACAGGTACAAAAGGGAAAACAAACACCACAGCTGACAAATGCCCATGTCTTTTCAATAATAAATGCTGCTGCCCTACTCCCACATACGGGGTGACATATTCAAACATTTCCTCAGAAACGAAGAGAAAACTGTTTGGCAAGATCTGCGTAGTAAACTCCTAAAATCTGGCTAATGAGGCTACATGAGGCTACTATTTTGAACAAAACAAAAGTACTTTGATTGTGTTACACACCTGCTCGTACCTTTTTAACCAGAAATGTGCTCAAATCATGTATTTGAAAAAAATGAAAACAATAATAAATTTGATCCTTAAAATAAAACTGTATATTTTTGTTAACATGGCTACCTATGGGCTTGATCCAATATAAGCTTGTGGGAAATCATACAGTATGTTTTGAAACTCTGATCTGATCTGATGACAGATTCAACAGAGTGGAAATGTGTCAGAAATACAGTAGGCCTAATAGCATGTGATTATGGTATTTGATATTCCTAATTAAGAACTGTTAGTTCCCTTGTTAATTTGTTATCAAGTGTAGTGGCTTGGAAATGCGCTGAAAGTATGTTACACTGATGATGCACATTTCGCGGTCCAAAACTCTGGTACCTCTGTTGCCTCTCGTACATTTGCTCTCTCTTGTTCTTATTGAGCTCTGGCACCTCATTATTAACAAACTAAGTACTGGATGTTGAAATCAAGAGCAAACCATGTCAGCCCATGATCTGTAATGATTGTGATTAACAAACATTAACGAAACTCAAGAAACTTATCAGTTTTGTTAAATGAAGATGTCTTGTTTGACAAATGCTTAGGGAACCTGCCCTGCTGTTTTTCTTCAAAGTCTGTTGTTTTGTGATTTTAACTGCTGGCAGAACATTAGATTTTTTTAACATCAATTTATTAGCCCTATACACTTCTTGCATTAGGAATTAGTCTTTTCAAATACCCCAGCTTACTCTCCATTAACACAGACAGGGAGAGAGAAGCTTGGGGTCAGAGCGCAGGGTCAGCCATTGTACAGCACCCCTGGAGCAGTTGGGGTTAAGGGCCTTGCTCAGGGGCCCAACGGAGTAGGATTCCTCTGCCGGCTGCGGGATTTGACCCGGCAACCTTCCAGCCACAGGCGCAGATCCTGAGCCACAGAGCCACCGCTCTCAGTAACTTTAAAGAATGAGGTTTCTCTTATAAAGCCAGACTAACAGTGAAGACACTAACTCAAAGAAAATTGACTTTTTATGTGATTATCCCACACGGTACAAAAACCAAACACTTTTGTAAGATGGGAGAGTTAGACATACAAATATCATAAAACACAGTCCATTCTCATTCTAGAGCCATTGCACTATTATGGTCTAGTGCTGGTAAGTGTTAACTTGTGAATTTATTATTTTATTACAGGCAATCCTACAGTTCGGGATGCGAGAGTTTCGGCACATCATTACTTCAAAATCTAACCTCGTTTTTCACATCTTCACTGTATTTGATCACCCTGTCCCTTCACTTGTACAGTATTTACTGCCAGTTTTAACGCACCACAGTACTGAGACGGCACACCCTCACAGCGCCCCCAGCAGGCTGGAGGAGTGCAGAGAGCAGTGCAGGACACCCAGTGTAAAAGTGAATCACACCGAGTAACCCAAAACAACAACAACAACAAAGCATGTGCATACTTCTCAAAAATCAAGGAAGTCTATAGAAAAGTAATTTGTAAGTTAATATATACAGGACTTTGCTTAATTCTCTTTTAACATTTGCATTATATTACCTTTGATTTAATTGTGTTATTATTTGCTATGATGGTCTTTTATCATCATTTTTGTAAATGGTGCAAACTATTTCCCCAAGAATGAGATCTAATATACAGAAAGATTGTGCTGATACCATCTTTTTAAAATTGATTCATTTGTATTCAGTATAACAGTAATCTAAATATGACCTCCCCCTTGTTTTGCTGTTTTCTTTATTTTCAAAGGTTACACAATACGTTGTGCTCAAAGCTGAAAAAGGAAAGCTTGTTACCATTTGTGCTGAGGGGATATTTACCATATCAGAGAAAAGTGTCTTTAAACATCCGGCTCTGAGCGGGCTGGAAGACACCCAAGAGGTATCTTCCAAAGTCCCTGGCACCATTGTTTGTCTAGCTAAATGAATATACACTTTCATGAAGATAAGCAAGACTCTTATTACAAGTATGTTTGCGTCGAGTCAAAACATAATTTTATAAAAGCGGACGTCAACGTGTTAAAGTCCCCCCCCCATGTGTTATGTTTTAAGGGAGCTATTTCCCCGCTCTCCACAGGACACAGTTTGGAAACGGTGGCTCAATTCTGCAGCACAGGCGTCTCTGAACTGCGGGAGTCACGTGGCAAGTGTCAGTCAGACGTGACTCATTCAGATCACAATGGAAGTCTGCTGTCTGTAAAGGCTGTGGATCAGGGAAGCACGGGACACCTTTTGTGTGTGATTTGCATCTGGCTCTTATAGTCTGCGCCCTGCAATGACGGTACACTTCTTAAATGAGTATCAAACTGTTAATTAAGAACAGTGGGTGTGGCCTCTTGAGGAACCTGCCTGGCCAATAATGTTTGCTCGTTTGACTCCAACATTAGAAAAATATTCACCTACAGGGAGAGTGACTATCAGTCAGCTGTACACAGGTTAGGTTAAATTGTGCCAAGAAAGGAAATAATACCAATAAAAACTCAAATCGACTCACAAGAACATCAGAGTGATTATAAACAGGAGCAAGCCATTCGGCCTGTTTGGTAGTTAGTAACTCGCTTATCCCAGAATCTCATCAGCTGTTTCTTGAAAGAAGCCAGGGCATTTGCTTCAACACCATGGCTGGGTGGCTTGTTCCACACCACCACAATGCTCTGTGTAAAGAAGTGCCTTCTGTTTAAGTGCTCTTTCACATGCTTCCAACATGTTTCCTCTGTTCACTCTGATTCACTGATATACTGGTAGCTAGTGGTTCACCGAACCAACCTGAAGACATTTAATTCCATGACTTTGTTTCAAAATCCAGTATACTGTAATACAGTATTTCAAATCTTTCTGTGACAAATCGTTTGTGCCTCTGCTAAACCAAGATTTATATTAAGTTGCAGAAAGGCAGTGATGGTAGCAGACACATGTTTGGCACACATCTGCCCTTTACTGACCACATTACACAGCTCTGACAAAATGATTGTGAGCTGTCAAGACTCACTAATGCCATAACACAGTATCAAAACATTCTTCTTCTCACCCAAAGAGGCTCCACAGACAAAACGTTGTGTTTCTTTCCTTCTCTTTTCAGCATGCAATAAACCTTTACTTGTTCCTTTGCAGCCTATGCCTGCTTACACAGCTCCCTACTTGAACTATCAAAGCATTACTTCAACACCATCATACTGTAACTACAAACCCTACAACATGTGTCAACATAGCAGTCAACACACTAAGAGCCAAGCCCTTTAGAGAGTCATGAACTGCAATTCTACACCCAAAACATTACACAGCTGGACCAGGAGAGTAGGTTTCAATGCTGGACTATGGAGCAACACTTACCACAGAGAATCTAGATGACATTTAAGGGCCACACATAGGCCTACTGTATTTCCTATACTGGAGTCCAAGGCTATCACATTTCTTTCACTTGAATGCCACTTGAGGTATTTTGTACGATTCCTAGATTACTGGGTCAGTGTCAGTGGAACCTGCAGAAACTCACCCTGCAGGATGAGGAAATGTCATCCTGGGAAACCTCACCGAAACTGGAGGTCAACCCAATACCTTCCCAAATGACATGTACCCAGATGTAAACCCAGATGGTTCTGTGTGGGAGCGGGAGGGGGTTTTATCAACAAGCACAATTTTGCAATGCGCTGACTGATCTATTGTCATACACAGAGACCGAATGAGCACAGACATCACTGTCAGTGGATTTGGAGGTAGATGCCTTTCTTAGCAAATGAACTGGATGGTGTGTATGCTGTACAATACAAACAAATCTATGGCATGGGCACCTATTCAAAGAGATCTTTAATGAAGCAACTTGATGAGGTTTCTGGATCAATAAGGAACGAAGAACCAGGCAAATATCAGAGCTGAAAGATTTTTTACTTTTTCACAACACTGTTTACATTCTACGGCAATGGTTCTTTTCAATGATTAAGGCTCTGCATCTCAAACTGGGGTCTAAGCTCAGCATTTGCCAGGATAAAATGATTGATGGCTGGACGAATGAAAATGATTCCCCGACTTCCAGCTGCAGCGTAGCCCCCTCCTGAAAGTGACATGCCCGCCTCTTTACAGCTGGTACTGATTTACAGGGCGCTGTCTCGTGTCAAGTGTTTGCTCACAGATCTTTTATCGGGTTATTATTTTCCTTCAGCAAGACCAGTCAGGTGTGGCTCAAAGCAGAGAAAACTCTCTGTGAACTAAAGCCAGAGTGCAAGACAACGAAATCGGTTGTTCTTCACAGCTGTGACTTAACATGGACAGATCCAGCATGCTGCCGATTTGCTCTGAAAGAGAGCACCAGCTATGTTCAGCTGCAGGTTACCGGGAAGCCTCTGCAAGCCTATGTTACAGACCCCGGGTCCAGTGACAGGGGCTTTGTCACAAAAGAATGATCTCAGACAGTCTCTCATGCCTGTGTTTCTTTCCTGCAACAGTAGCCTGTGCAAGGAATCTTATTCTGTGATTAGATTGTAAAAAGTCTCTTCTCCAGTTACCCCAGGCTTTTTTTGTTAACATAAGCGGGATGAGAGGGACCCCTAAGGTGTCTTTTCATGTTTGAAAGTCTGTGCTAGCCTTTTTACCTGCTTCAAAAACGTATTTAATGACTAGCTGTTGCAATTTAGTGGCAGGAATCTCTCCAGCACAAGTTAGAACAAACAACAGCGCAGTTCAAGGAGCCACGCTTTCAACAAAACATCACGCTCACAAATGACGAATAATGACAAAAAAAAAGTCCACATACCAGCAAATACGTTGCGCTCTGAGTGAAGAAAGCTTTTACCACAACGGGCATAAAATGCATCAACCACTACGTCCAGCAGCTTCTTGTAGTCAATACAGCCGGCCAGGACATCCCATACAAACATCTCTTCAGAAACATCTAAATGCTAAATGGGGAAAATAAAAGAATGAGACTTGGTTATTACAGGTGCAAACTGTCATACTTAAAGCACAGTTTCTTTTTTCAGAGCTGCTCTTGCACTGGTCTGTTGTTCCTGCTCAGCTCTTTTCTCGGGTGTGAAACAGACCTGAAAGAGCATGTCTTGGGCCCAGAGCTAGACATGCTGACAGATGCATGGTGAATGCAGCTAAAAAGGCTCCCATGACTTGTAGACTTTTCTGCCAAGAGCTATCGTGAGCTACAGCTGGGGAAATCACAGTACTGAGTTTTGGGCTTGTAAACATTGTCTGATTTTAAAAATAAATTACAAATGAAACAGGGCAACTGTATTTTCAATTTTAGCGATCAATGTAGTAAATATGCACGGTGCCCTTCTCACCTGCATGGATTCTTGGGGAATTGTGTAATCTACCCAGATTCACAACTAATCCCAATATAATCAGAGAAGTTTATTTACTTTCCACTTGGTAGAAAACGTACTACAAAGAACTAGACAATCTTTTCAGAGCTAACGCAGTGAAAGATTGAGCTCGGAATGTACAATCATCCTCCTATCTTAAATTATTTTGTTTCCTCAGGAGAGATAATAATATTGAGGAATTATAACAGGCTGAAGATGCCTTTCTAAAAGTGATTATATATACTCTTCACGAGGGTACTATTAGTGCTTCAGGAAAATGACTTGCATATTAGAACTGTCAGGGGTCTGAGGGAGGTGAAAACTGCATAATTTGTTTACTCCCAGGAGTCATATGCACAACATTAATTTTTAAACTATCTGAGACCTGTGTGTACATTGAGCACATGAAAAAACAAACCTGATGTTTGGTATGCATGCCTAGACACACGGTAATCTGTAAACTATTACGCACTCTTTTCAAAATTCTGGTTAGCTTTAGTAGTTATGTATAGCTCAATAACACTGACTGCAGAGGATCTACGATAATATAAAAAGGAAAACATAAAGTAAGAAATTCACAGTATAACAGCTATATTAGTTGCAGATTTATTATACATGGAAGATACTGTATTTAGGTTATGAGATTTTTAGCATGGTTATTAGCCCTGCTGGCCCACAGCTCCAGACTTGATTCTGTTTATTTCTTTGAAGTTTAATCCTTTATTTAACTAGATAAGTCAGATGAGATCAAGTGACAAAGTGGTCATTGCAACACAAAAACTAAACAATGAAGAAAAGAACAAGCAATAAAATTAAAATAACAGCACAGGGCATGGCCATATTAAAACATTCACGTATTGGGCAGAAATTATAAAACTCTACAATGGTAAATACCCTCAAGGACAAGGTGGATAGTTCTTATTATTCCAGTCATCAGCAGCAGAAAACTGAAACGGCTTGTTCTTAAAAGGTTCTTAGAGGTTCAATCTGTTATTTCTACTACACCTTAAATTGTAAAATGGCACAGAAAATCTAGTAAGTAATCTAATAATCTAGCATGCCATCTAGTAAAACATTAGTAAAAGGCTTTCCAAATTCAAGATCTGTTAATCGACAAGAGACTCATTAGTCCAATATGCAGAAAAGACAAAATCAAAGAGTAAAAATGATAATGCTGAATCATGAGGGGGAACCAGTGATAAATCTTATGGCAAATGGTATAATATAAGACATCAAGCTCCCACAGAAGAGTTTCAGAGAATGTTATGCATTCTGCAGTCAGCATCACTATGATCCTAAATGGGAAGTACAAATGTCTGGACAAGTTGCTTATATAGATGATCATGTAAAATCAGATGTGTTGTGATGAAGAGAAACATCTGTAGGACTGACTTCAGCCTGTAATTTAGTCATTTGAGTTTTCAAGTCTAAGGGTGGAGCAGTGGCTCTGTGGGTCGGGATCTGTGCCTGTGGCTGGAAGGTTGCCAGTTCAAATCCCACAGCCGGCAGAGGAATCCTACTCCCTTGGGCCCCTGAGCAAGGCCCTTAACCCCAACTGCTCCAAGGGTGCTGTACAATGGCTGACCCTGTGCTCTGACCCAAGCTTCTCTCCCTGTCTGTGTGTCTCATGGAGAGCAAGCTGGGATATGTGAAAAATATGTGAAAAGACAAATTCCTAATGCAAGAAATTGTATAGGGCCAACAAAGTGATCTTATCTTATCTAAGGCACTGGTGTTAGCAGTCTATCTGTGGTGAATTTGCATGTTTTATGAGATTTCTCCTGGGTTCTCCAGAAACCTGTCATCTCTCAAAGATATTCCGGATAGGGTTGATGTGCAAGTTGTGTTGGTGGACCAGTAGGTGGCGATCTTCCCTTGGCTTGCACTATGTGACCTCACTAAAGAACCTTCTGAATTCAAACAGTGAAGCAATTATTTACTTCTCTATCTGATCAGTTGTGTAGAGGCTCGAGTGCTATATAATTTCAAAAAAATCATAATCATTTTAAACTGCCACCCTTCCTGGCTTTGGTCTTTGGTTCCAATAAGGACTGGTGATGTGCAACCCTCTCATGACTCTGCCTTTGTTCAGAGTGATGGTTCTCTGGCTTACTTTAGGAAATGAGCACAGGTTGCATTAGTATTTATTTTTAAATATATTTATAAATATATACAAATGCAAACTTATAATGGCAGACAAGAAAACAGGTGTCAAACACTTGCAGACAGGCATGCCTTACCTTTAGTGTAGTTGAGGCATCCTCTATGAAGGTTTCAATGCAATGGTTTTCGGGATCAAACTTTCCAAGGAGCTGAACCACCTCCTTGACCAGCCTCCCGTAAGTGGTCATCTTCAGTGTCCAAGCCTGAGAGGAAGCAGGACACAGGACAAGCATCTCATTCTCCTGCCTGAGGGCTGGACTGGCCGGACACAGTGCCAACCAATCTTCCACAGTTGTACAAGTGCCTTGCGTGTTCCAAACAAAAGAATCATGCACGGCTTTCAAATAGTTTCTCGGCTCATTTGCTCTGATTTACAAGGGCTACGTTTGCTTTCTGTCCAAGGGAGAGAAAAAGTGCACTCCCATTCAATCATCTAGTTTTCATAAAGGATATGTTACCTGTGTTAACCACTTTACAGTAAAACATCAACCATCCATCCGTTTTCCAACTGCTTTTTCCAATACAGGATCATGGGAGCAGCTGGAGCTTCTCCTGGCAAGCAATAGGCACGAGGCAGGATACACCCTGGATGGGACGCCAGTCCACTCTCAGGGCAGACACAGACACAAACACACACTCACAACAGGGCCAGTTTTCAAAGATAACCTGTTTATCTACCAGTATGTTTTAGACTTTAGCAGGAAACTTGAGTACCTGGAGAAAAGCCATGCAAGCACAGGGAGAACATACAAACTCCACACAGACAGCACCCAGGAAGTGAACCCAGGGCCTCAGCAGTCATCTGAATCCCTGGGGACTCTTCTTAAATCATCCTGAATCTGATCTTTAATGGGGGGTTACGGCCCCAATTTTACCCCCCTTTTATTTTCCAAAACACCACTGTTTCACTTGAGTAATGTCTCAATCTCATCTTTCTCCATGTCACGAATAGCTGAACAAGGAGGATGCGGTACCCTGACTTGATTTAGTTGAGCCTGGAGTTCATCCACTCCACAGCTTTTAACGAAGGAACCTGGATCACTGACATATGAACACCTGAACCTCCAACTGTAGGAGGCCCCACTGTGAAATATGTGCGACTGAGTCCAACACTGTAAATTAAAAACTTCCAGGAGCTATGGACAGTAGGTGTCTGTTGATCTTTGAAACGGGCTGTCCCTGTCCTATATCATCAGTGGGTTCTGAAGTCTATTTCCTCAGGCTGAAGAAGACGTACTGTAGTACCACGAGTAAGTCAATGGCTGATCTAGCGGACCAAGGCGGCAGCAGCATGAGTCCCGCACAAGGTCTCGGTCTGGATCTCCACGAAGGAAGATGTCACGCGTGTTTGCCTTATCAGTCACGGTCGGGGCTCATAGTGGACAACCATCCCCGACCCCGAGGGTCATCCGATGGATGGATGAATAGACAAGATGACTTGATTAAATTAACCAGTGGAGGAGCACAATTAAAAATCAAATCAAACGGTGCCAACGGGCAACCACTGAAGATCAGACGAGCGATGTTTCCAATTAAGAAAACGGTTAAAGATTACATGCTCTGCTGAGGCGGCAACGAGAAAGAAAAAGAAAATCGAACAACACATGCAAAACTAATACAACCACGCCAGTGCAAGCGCAGTTTATAAACCCATCAGCAGCAGAACTACTGCGTCCGGACAGGGACATATTTAGGAAAGTAGTGAAGTGTTATATTCGTACCTTACCGTCCAAGGGAATGGAGAGGAGGATCTCGGTTGTTAACTGTGTGCGCCCTGCATCTAGTTACAGCAGGGGGGACAAGTGGTGTGGCAATCGACACCCCGAAATCCGACAGAAAACCCCACTTCCACGCCGCACGGCCTCCACGACAAACTGGAACAGTGTTTGAGTGTCGCCTAGCAACCGTGCGTATGGTTACCGGAGAACGCCTCGGGTCGATACGCTGGAAAGGGGAGCCTGTGCGTATGTGATCATAATGACACATTCGTGCTGTGGGTTTGGAAATGTAGGCCTGTGGATTCTGATTTAGACTGATGGCAAGACGCAGACACGCACAAAACAATGCCAAGAACTCCCCCACACACACACACTTCTGGCCGGTCCTCGGTCGTGCAGCGGCCCTCAATCGCAGTCGGCGCTGCGCCGCCCGCCCCACGCCTCTGACTGGCCGTGCGAGGCGCCCGTCTTCCCGGCCGGCTCTGACAGCTGCTTCCTGTCTTTCAGCGCCGTGCAGTGCGCAGGTACGGAGATCGGAAACACGCGAGGTGGGGAAGGGGGGGGGCGGGGATCAGGCTGTGGTGTCAGACAGAGAGAGAGAGATTGACACCCAGCCGGAGACACAGGCGAGCCCTGCGCGAATCGCTCGCTCGGGCACGGCGGAGGTGTGAGGAGACGCGGCGGCCAGCGCTCACCGCGGGCATGGAGGAATAGCGCCCGCCCGGAGACAGCCCCGGGGAGCCGGATCGGCGTGGACGTGGATCGACCCGGGCGCACGGATATTACTGCATTGTCGGGCTCCGCCGGCTGCGAGGACGTCAGCCCAGAAGTTACAGCCCAGGAGCGGCGGAGACGCGCTCGGCAGAGGGAGGGAGGAAGGAGCCGAGGGAATGATGAACAGATTCAGAAAGTGGCTGTACAAGCCGAAGGTGAGCTTGCCGGGTACTTCTCTTTCTTTGGGGTTTTTTTTTTTAAGCTCGGGCGTGATGGGTGCTGTTTAAAACCCCTGTTCTGCGATGCACACGCACGGCGCTGTTGCGATGGGAGCTGTGTCAAAAAGGAAAGTTCAGGTCGCCCGTCGGGGTGCGAGTGAAAGCGGTGGCGCGTCACGTTTAGGACACACGCCGTCCCGTAGCGGAGTGCCCGCGGTGCTAGTCCTGTTCTCCCGTCCGGTCTTGGACCTGCGGTGCCGTGTCGCCGACCCTCTTCCCGGCTCGGCTCCGGCTCGCAAACTCCTGCTGTCGCCTGTCGCTGTGCTCGGGAGAGCGAGGAAAGAAAACAAACAGCTCCCAACTTCACGGAGAAGAAGGAGAAGAAGAGAAAATTCATCTAGTAGTGAAAGTGTCGTATTGGGGAGGGCAGTTTCATGCTGCGGGGTTACGATCCGCACAGGTTCCGCCAACGTCGGTTTAATCAAGAGTTGTACTTAAGGCGAGTGATGGCTCACACTGGGACTGTGTGCCCTTCGACGTCTGGAGTCAGCTCTGTGGGATGTTTTTAATCCTTTCCTGGACTTGCTAGTCCAGTCCCAGGGCGTTGCTTTCATTCAGAGCCGAGTCCCCGAGTCTCCTCCTAGCCTCCTCCTAGTGTGCTGTGGTGCTGGTGCTGACAGCCCGGTCCGTCTGGGCGCCGGAGTTTGGACCGGCGCGCTGGTCAGCTTTATGATGGCCGAGCAGCCCCGCTGAGGTCCGGCCAACGCGTTTCAGGCACCCAGCCTCCCGTCTCCGAGGGCGGAGAGGTTGGTTTTTTTTTTCTCCCCGATGCCTCCTTGCGTGTGTGTAGTTTCCTCCCAGCTCGCCTCAAGTGGGTCACTCGCTGAAGCAGGCGAGGCGGCTGCCGGTGTGTGTGTGTGTGGGGCTTTACCGCCTGCCCAGGTGGCCTTGTGTCTGTTGTCTGGGCTGCGGTTCGCTTGTCATTAGCCTGGCGCGTTAATTAAACGGTGCGTCTTCACCGCGCTTGACTTAGCTGCGCCACCAGCGTGTCATGCGTATTTTGTTTGGCGAGGAAATATTGTGTTATGGGTCGTCCTAGTAAAGAAAAAAAAATACAGTTGTTTTCCGATTAAGGCTGTATTTATGGATTGCATCGCTGCTTCGCTCGTTTCTGTAGGTGTGATGTCCAAGTCTGAGCCAGAACTACGTTGTGTCCCGTTTCCAGGATGTTTGGACTGGAGTCTTAAAAGCTGCAAAATCCCCAGCCAGACGGGCGATAAAGCCTGCACAGCTGTAGCTGTCATAATTTACGGGCGACTGCCAGAGTTTTGTCAGACTTTTTATCAAACCAGTTGGGAAGCATGAGGTTTCAGGATTGCGGATTTTGTTTTAACGATTTTCGTGGCAATCCGGTTGACAGGCAATAGATTTCACACGCGGCTGAGCCGCAAAGTAAATCACTGCTTCACGATTGAGAAAAGTCCCATAGCAAGAAGAGAAAATCCTATTCTCTACACGAATTCCCGAAAAGTATATTGTATAACAAAGTTCTGAAGGGGATGATTTTAGTTTTGCAGTTCCCTGATCGTACTTTCGTGTTGTTAAACTTCTTTAATCCGGGGAAAGGCTTTTAAATGGCTCTTGTTTAATACTCTGTTAAAGCAGACCTGTTTCTTGATCAGAGGAAGCAAGGACATCTTGCTTTTCACATTGGTATTAACGAACCGCACTGTTCAGCAAGAGCTTGTTTTGGTGGGAAACGTCTGTTTACGACCACACGGTCTACTGCTCCACTGAACTTTGTCTTTTGCCACACAGCGTGTGCCTTCACCTTTGAAACCCTAATATACCCTGCAGTGGCGGTCTGGTAATTAATATACTGTTTATACTGTGATACATTCAATCTGTATGCGCATTTTTGAATATATTTTGTTGTTTTACAGGAACAATACAGTAGTATTGTTTTACCGTACTTATTTTAATTTTAGTCTGTTCTGACGTCTGTCTTGCTTGTCTTGGGCTGGGCTGCTGTCACGCCTCAGTTTCCCCTCGGGATCAATAAAGTCTTATCTATCTAACCCGCTAGGCGCGCACAACGTGTCGGGAGAGTCCGTGTCCCCCGCAGGACTGGTACCAAAAACACAGAAGAACCTACTTCTGTGCCGCCTCTGCGTATAAAAAGAAACACTGACGCAAGTAAAAAGAGGATTTCTTGTGTTAGTGCTAAAAATAATTGATGGCTTTATGTGGGGATGCATTTATGCGCCTGCCGGCAGGATTTAGAGGCTGTTTTGTGACAGCAGATTTCCCTAGCACCGCATAGCCTGTCCATGGCAGATCTGCGAAACTCAGGCAGGGCTCTGTCAGTGCAGGGATGTGTAAGCTTCTAGAAAAACCAGGGTGCACCTGTTGTGGACCAGTAGGTGGCGCTCTTCACTGTCAACTAAAGTTTCCCTGAAGAACGCTTCAGTGATGGTGGACACTGTGCTGTGGGTGGAGGCCCTGTGCTTCCGATGAGACGTTGAATTGGGGTCCCGGTTGTTCGGTTATCAGATAACCCAGGAGGATGTTTATAAGTGCAGAGGGTGTTAAAACTGAGGTTCTGGTGAAAACCTGCTCTGGGCTCTTAGAGATTGGCCTCACTAAAGTCTGCTTTCATTCGGCTTTCGAAGTCATTTCTCGACCGTCTGCCTGACCTGCTGTGTTTCGGGACTGCTGGCCCAGTTGTGAAGGATCTCCTCCTAAGTGCACAAAACGCAACAAATGTAAGCAATTAGACTTTAAATTAAAGTAGCCTATTGCAATTTTGTGGAAAACTACAGTAGGCTAGGTATTAGAAATTAATGTCCCCCCCCAAAACAAATTGTGAATACGATTGAATATTTTTAGAAGGTAGCTGACTGTCAAAGGACTCCTTCAGGACACAATGTGAAACAAGTGTGAAAGGGGTTTCCATATGTTTCCATACAGGGTCATTCCTCTTATGTCCTCTGGTTTGTGACTGAATGTGTTTCTTCCATTCTGAAGAAGTCTTCTGGCTTGACACCCTCACAGTCTTTTGAGAATGTTGAATTTCAGTTCAATTTATTTTCATATAGCACCTTTCACAACAAGGTTGCCCCAAGGCGCTTAACAAAGCAAGTGGCCATGCATGTTGTGAATATAGAACAGAAGAGACCAGAAGAGAACAGAGGAGAAGACTATAGCAGGAAACTTGAGTACCTGGAGAAAAGCCATGCAAGCACAGGGAGAACATACAAACTCCACACAGACAGCACCCAGGAAGTGAACCCAGGGCCTCAGCAGTCATCTGAATCCCTGGGGACTCTTCTTAAATCACCCTGAATCTGATCTTTAATAGGGGGCTAACGACCCAAATTTAACACCACTTTAATGTCCAAAAACACCACTGTTTCACTTGAGTAATGTCTCAATCTCATCTTTCTCCATGTCACGAATAGCTGAACAAGGAGGATGCGGTACCCTGACTTGATTTAGTTGAGCCTGGAGTTCATCCACTCCACAGCTTTTAACGAAGGAACCTGGATCACTGACATACTGTATGAATACCTGAACCTCCAACTGTAAGGAGAGGAACCATAAACTCCTTAGTAAGGAGAAAAAACACCTCTAGAAGTCCAACTGGCTGCCCAACTCCCTTGGACATTTTAACATTATACCATTAAAAAAAGCAATAAATGAATAATTTGTAAGCGTATACACCAGACTTAGGCGATTGGTTTTTCTTTCTGTTTGGAAACTTTTGTTGTTGTTAAATGTGACTTCAAAATAGTCTGCATTGTCACTCCATTGACACTTCGGGTCGTACTCCCAAATGAACTTCATCCAGTGGACAGAGCTGCTCTGTCAGAACCCATTGGATTCCATTGGTTTCATGGTCAATCTGAGCTTTTGATTTCTGTGCTAAACTGTTAATTAAAGGAGGAGAATAGTCTTGCTGATCAAGAAGAGCATTATGAAGTTCAGTTTTCTTTTGAAGTACAATATGAGAAAAATGTTTGGTAATTCAGAAAACTGATGACTGTATAATGTCTAGAAAGTATCCTGAAATAGTCAAGAGTTTTCCTATATGATTGCATTGTTTTTTAAGATGATCTTTAGGGCCACATTCAAGTTCTTTGACTCAAGTGGAAAACATATTCCACTTTTTCTATTCAGCGCAAGCTAAAATACCATGTTTTTTTTAAAGAGACAGAAATTCCTGTGCCATCAGTCAGAGGTTATTTTGTTATAGGTAATTTCAAGGAAAGTACACAGATAAATACAGAGGGAAATCGTTAATAATGCATAAAAAATAAAAGCAGATGCTACAATAAAAAACACAATTGCTTCTTGCTAGATTTTGCACCCTGAAAGACTTTCATTAAACTGGAAACATATTTGTCCTGCAAGGTTTGAAAATGACTCTGGAAGCATTTTTCTCATTTTGTTCCCTCTCCATAGTCCTCCAGTCATTTGTGTTAATGTACCTCCATAATAAGCATAAATATGCATATGACTATGCAAAACAGACTTTATTTTGTTTATTTCTGCTAGGTGTAAAATGTTTCATTTAGAGTGCTGAATAGGCTGGGAGATTTGCTCATATAGCAAGGTATTTTGCCATTTTCTTTTTTGCTTAAAAGGGACATGGATTTTTTTCCCCTCTCAGTTGAATCTGGGCTCATTGCCAAAACATTGTCAGGTCAACTGATGGGCTTATTCCGAGTCTGTGGAACTCCTGACCGTGAATGTTCTGCCTTTGAGCCTGACGTTGTGCTGCTAAAGTTAACACTCGTCCTACACCACATGTTTCCATAATGAAAGGCGGGGGATCATTTAGGTTCATTGCGGGACAGGACCGCCTTTTGACGTTCACGGTTGTCATCTGAGCTGCCTGTAAATCAGTAGCTGATCAGATTTCACAATAACTAATCATCGTGTTTATGGAGTTTGTATTATCATGCTAATACAAGCTTCATTTGACCAATTGCTGA